ACCCCGGAAGCACGTCTGGGGGTGAAACGCGAGGTGGATTCTATGGAGCAGAGCCAAAAGAAAGCAAAAGCCAGGGCTCCGTTGGAGCCTCGCAACCTCATGGGGGACATGCGAGACGGCAAGAACAGTGCAGTTCCTGTGAAAGTCAGTTTGCCTCCACCTCCCCCAAGAAATCCGAGAGCTTCATCGAAAGGCTGTTGCAGCAATGGCCATTGCTTCCCCTGTGAAACCTCCCTTGCCCGGGCAAGAGTGCCCATCACCTCTTGTGCCGCACCAATCCGAGATCATGCAGAAGATTGCGAACAAAGCGCGAGAAATGATGAGATGTGAGGCCCCTGTGGCCCCTACCGTTTCTACTCCTTGTGCTCCCGTGGCAGCAATGCGCCCCGCTGGGGTTGATGCGATGGCCCCAAAGTGCTCTACTCTGTCTGCTCCCGTGGCAGCAACGTTGCCTGCTGGGGTTGATGTGGTGGCCCCAAAGTGCTCTACTCTGTCTGCTCCCGTGGCAGCAATGTTCCCTGCTGGGGTTGATGCGGTGGCCCCAAAGTGCTCTACTCCGTCTGCTCCTGTGGCTTCAACGCACCCTGCTGGGGTTGATGCGGTGACCCCAAAGTGCTCTACTCTGTCTGCTCCTGCGGCAGCAAACTTTGCGAGCCGAGCACGCTTGCTCACGGTGTCGTCTGTTCCAAAAGCTGATGGACTCGTGCTGCAGAGATCAGGGACCGGATGTATGTCAATGGTGCCAAAGGCAGGGTGGCTTTTGCCAGCGTGTGGTCAGGGTTGCACTGCAGCCCCGCCGAAAGAGCCTGAGGCGTGCAAAGCTCTTGTTGCTGTCCCCATGTCCAGCGAGTTGCAAGTAGCACTCACAGCACCGGAACCGGTTCCTGCCAAGTGCCTCCCAGAACCTGTCCGCAGCCTCCCATCGCCTGCCGTGGCCGCTGGCCCACCCACTACCCTTACTCCTGTCACGGCAGTGCCTAAGACCTCTCCCTCGGAAGGCCTTCCTGCCCCAGCCCCAGCTGTTACAGCAGCTGAGCGCAGCCCTGCTAAAGCTGCTACTCCCACTGCTTGCAAGGCTGGTGCAGCGGCACCTGCTAGGAATGCAAAGGCCAGCGCAAGAAGGTCTGATGAGCAGAATGCTGCAGTGTCAGCACTTCGTCAAGATGTGGAGTCCATTGGTGTTGCTGCTGGCCCGGTGCTTTGATTGCATATAAGTCGTGCATGCAACCCGTTTGGACAAAGAATGTTTCGTGAGCATTTCCATCCATCCCTGCAGGGTATCATGCCGACTTCTTATGAAGACCGCCAAGCTCATTTTGCTGAGTTCAAGCGGTTGCTTGGCTCTACTCATGGGGAGGGCTTGGGCTTTGTGTGGGGTGGGATATCGGATTGCTATTACATAGCATGCATATCATACTATATAGTAGTCCAGTAGGTAGCCTTTATAACCTTTTTGGGTATATACATGTAGCATAAGTCCCTATATGGCACCAAAAAGGTTAAACTTTACTAGTTCCCCATGATACACGACAAGTAGGATACAGACCGTGCCTAGGCCTACACGCGGTTCGTGTGTGCATTCAAAATTCTATTCTACGAAGTGTTTACCTTATGTAGGATTCTTTGTATTGGATCTTCCAGCCTCGGACAGGTTTAGGGTTTTGTAATAGGGTTTATAGGGTTTTTTTACATGCATGCATGATGGTTTAGTGTTAGGTCTTCCAGCCTCGGAGCCGTGCTCCACTTCGGCTTGCATTGCAATCTCCATGCGATCTTCCGTGATGTTGTCAGTGGTGCTGGATATGTCCAGGAGGACCTGGGCTATGCTGTTTCAGGGGTTCCCTTGCATGCATGCATGCATATAAACAAGCTCACACCCAAAGTCCATGGCACGTAATACAATTTTGCACTTTCGTCGTCCGGCAAGTCGGGGTGTGCACGAACCAAGCCAGCCCGCTGCTTCCCTTCGATTATGGCATTCACAAGCTCGGCGTTGTGGTTGTACATAATCATGAGCTGGGCACGGGTTCTCCATCCTGTCAGTTTCGATTGCAATCATTACGAGTGTATATACTTTGCTGGACCTGAGGTGCACACCATACTGGTTGCGCTCGCGGGCTCGATCCGTGCGACTTCTCAGGTGGGAGACGGTCACCCTGCATGCAGACACTCATAGTCTAAGCGGTCTTGAAGCTTCCATGAATATGTGCATGCACACAGAGACATACACAGAGACATTCACATGCTGTGTGGAGTTGCCTTGCCCAATCCTTTCCGCGCTCCAGATACTTCTGGAACAATGCAGTCTTGATTGTGCGGCTGTTGCAGCTCACGGCTTTGTTCCACAAAGTCACGATCTCTGCCGGTGCCGTCGTCAGCGGACTCTTCATGATAAACTTGGCCCTAAAATTCTATCAACCCTATATATATAACCCTTAAACCCGATCGAGTGTCCCGCGGCCAGCCACGTTGATATTGGCGTAGTTGCCTGTGCAAGGCCATGAGCGCGATCGCTGGTATGCACAGCAACATGCTCAGTGCTGGCGGTGCATCTTCATCTACCGATGCTGTGGCATCCTCTGAAGTTCTGCCGAACGGAAGCACGTTGGTCATCAATCAAGGGAACGGGAAGGGGAAGGGGAAGGGAAGAACCAGGGCGGAGCAGGCCACGGAAGAGGGAATCCCAATCCTTCGAACACCGCTCTGCCTCCCTTCCCCAAGCCCAAGAAGGCGAAGAAACCGAACTCCACCTGCAAGAGATCTCCCTTTTTGTTTATACGGTTTGGGTTTAGGGTTTGGCTTCGACCCGTATGTAGCTAGCTTGATCTGTTTTGATGGATACTCGATCGATCGTGTTTGTATAACCCTATCTGAAGCAAAGCCTAGATTTTGATTCGGGTTCTTGAGAGGGTTCTGGGCTTTATCAGAGGGGGTTTATATATAGGGTTTATACTTATATAGGGTTTGTAGGGGTTGTGGGTTTCCTTATGAAGGTTCGCGACATGTCTATATCCATAAACCCAGGTTTATACTATCCGGTGAAACGAAATAAGAAGAGCAAAGTGAACTGCATGACACCCATAAACCTCTACTAAGGGACGTTATGCCGGAGGATGACAAGGACGCCATCACGTGGCTCACATCGAAAATTTCCAAAGCTTCGGGCGACGCCAAGGTTCTGACTGTGAAGCTATGCCACGTTCGTCATCAAGACAAGCTGCGTGCCCCAGCTAGATAACTCCCGCTTCTGTATATAATTGCAAAGCCACTTCAAACATGCATGAGGTCAGATGATGCAAAACCATGCAGATGAGATGGAAGCGAGCCTGGCGCAGCTGCGGCATGCTGCCACCCTGGACAGTGAATGCTTTGTGTCCCTGTTTGCATGCTTCCATCCCTCGTTCATGCTTCTTGCATGCATACAATATATACACATATGCATGAGGAGGATGCGGATGCAAGGCAGATCAACGCGGTCTTGAAGCTGGGTACGCAGAGGATGGAGTGGTTTATGGTGGACAAGAAATCCGCCGAAAATGTCGTGAAGGCGAGCAAACCCAAGAAGGCCAAGCAAGCCGCAAACGATGCAGAGGAGGCCATAATTTCAGAAAGCGTGCATGGAGCAACTTCTGCCACATAAGATAGCACTCCCTGCCTCTCATTGCCCAGCGCAGGATATCGATGGCGAGGAGTTCGAAGATGCAGACTGAGCATTTTCGTGGGGTTCGCTTCATGTGTGACTGCCCATAGAACATTCCGGGACCTATAGCACCTAGACTCGGGGGAGTATTCCATTGAAATACCGAGGCTAGTTATACCCCCCTATAAACCCTAAACCCTTATAAACCCTTATATATAAGATCCCAAACCTTATATTGCAAAGCCCAAACCCTCCCCCAGAGATCCCATGACCCTTTTTGGAGTTATATAGGGTTTATATTATATAACCCTAAACCCTATAAACCCTAAAGTCCGGAGTGCAGGCCAGGCACGCATGATGCAATCTTGATGCAGGATTTCAATGAAAGCCTGTTGGGTGTCTGTGCGCAGCCACACACTTAACATCTCTAGCAGCTTTATCCGGTCTCACGCATGTCTCATGGACTGAAAGCCCGCTTTCACACTGTATGTTTGTGCATATATAATTTACCATTTTGGGTATCATGCAAGCGAAGAATCCATGACAAACCTTTATGAAAGGAAACTTCCTGAAGCAGTCGATATAAGCCATGTACATACAAGCCCAGCGTAGACTTGAGAAGACCCCGAAGCCGAAAGTGTAGCTGCTGATCTAGCTACGCTATGTCTTTAGTAGCATGCATGCATCTAAACATCATTAGACCTTGCACCCTTTAAGCGCGAGCCCTTGAGAAATACATTCTGTGGGTCCGGCCGATGGCTGCTGGAGCGTGTGTCCGGCCTCTGCGCCAATTATGTGCATAGCGAAGAAGCAGCGCATGGGGATCATGAGATCGAGAAAAGCAAGTGATGTTCATGCTTAGCTAAACTTTATAACCACAAATACGCTACACCTTACTGCAGGAGCTCTTGGCCAACGAGCTGCTTTGCACACCGAGGGCCTGGCGGCGACAGCTGAAGCTTCGGCAGCGCAGGGCACACCTCAGCAGGTTGATTTCGCACCAGCTGCCCCGTCGAGTTCAAAGCGGAAACGTTGTGACGAGGACCGTTCCTTTGCCACTTAATTGCCTCTATGTTTGTCAGTGTGTGCATACATATAGGAAACAGCCGTGTGCTGCTAGGAGGATGAACAACTCAGCGAAACACTGCTCATGAAGTATGCCACTGGCAAATGCAGTGCCTCCGGAGCCTCTCTGTGTGCATGGTACAACATTAATTATTTTGTAGATGTTCCATGCGCAAACCTTGTATGGACTGTTGCAAGCTAGATCACCCTGCAGGTACAGGAGTTGGCTGAAGGGGCTGTGTCCTGGTGTTCTGGCCATGGTGGAAAAGCTCCTAAGAAGGATCTTATTTCGAAAATGGCAAGGCTTGGTGCTAGCGGGAAGCATGCTCAAAATGCAGAGCGAGATCTTCAGACAGCTATACGCATGTATGGGCGCTCCCTGGGCTGCAGCATCGACAAGTGCAAAGTAAGGACAGTAAGGATGTGGGATCCTCGGGACAATGCCATCATATCTGTGGAACTAGAAGCTTCTGGGTTTATATAACGAATTGAGATCCCAAACCCTGCAAAGCCCCCAAAGCCGAAGCCCTCCCCCAGCCCAAGACCCTCTTAGGAGACTTAATTATAATAAAGCCATCACAATGCTGCAGCATTCAGGTTCTGTTTCCGGATACGATTGCCAGGGCGATCTGGCAGTACAGCCCCGATGTATTCGAGAATATTTTTTTGGGGCCTGCAGGTCCCGAAGGTGCAAAGCTGTTCTGGGACAATGCGAAGCGCAACTGCCCATGGTATCCTCCCCACATCCAACAGTCTGAGCACGCTGGCCTTATGCCACTTTCTCTTTATGGAGATGATGTGCAGGCTTACAGGATTCCTTGGGTTGCATGCATAATCAAACTTGTATTATATGCATAGTTCCTTAATCCGTTCTAGTTATAGACCCCGCCAAAGTTTATGGAACATGCATTTAAGCATCCCTAGCTGTGTGCAGGAATTCGGACCCTGGGGCAATCAGTGCTATCGGCTGGTGCAGTGATTTTGGACGTGGCCACGAAGCCTTTCTTCATTATATGCTGTGCACGGTTTTTTCGGAATATTGTGCATGTGAACACACCTACGAAGATTTGATGGAGGCCCTGCTACCACGCTTCCATGATATGTGCGATGCAGACCCAAAGAAAAACCCTTGGTGTTCCCGTGGTCTCCGTTTTGTCTTCACTGGCGTGCAAGGTGATTTGAAATGGCTGCTGAGTCGTTACGGCCTACACAACTACGCAAAGAATGGGTGCTGCAGTCTTTGCAATGCAGTGAAGAATGATCCCGACCCTTGCAAAACCATTGCATGCTTCACCGCAGCAAACCAGTTTGTTCATGTGAGTCATGAGAACTTCTGCGCGGAAAGGGCGCTCCATGAGTGGCCTGCACCTATGATTTATGGCGTGCGCTTAGAGCGCTTCCTTCATGATGTGGCACATTCACAACTCCTTGGGACAGGGAAGACCCTGAATGGGTCGGCCCTCATCTTTCTGTGTGAATCGGGTGAGTTCAGCCCGAATGGCACTTTCCCGCCTCGTGGCTTCTACAACGACAATCTGAATGCAGCGCTTCGAGTTGCTTATGTGGAGTTCAAGGCGTGGGTGAAAAGATCTGGGCTCAGGGTGAACCAACCTCGCTTTACTTATTCACGCTTGAACAGAAAGAATCGTGCCAGCCATCCTTGTTTGGCGTCGAAGGCTGTATCAGGGAAAGTAATTTCGTTTTGGCTTGCAAGCCGATGTGTCGAACGATCCGAACGGGCTGGTGCATCGGACGTCGAGAAGCTTGTGGCTCTGTGCACGCACGCATATGCTTCGATGTTGAAGAAGATGGATGAGGCGCCCCTGGTCATGACGCAAGAACAAGCTGATGATTTGTACAATGTCGGCATTCGCCACCTTCAAACATATGCCCGGCTTCGTGCTCTCAGCGCTCAAGTTAGAAGAGGCAAAACCCCAAACCGAAGCTCATGGACGATTTTGCCGAAGCATCATCACCTTTGGCATGCCCTTTTGCAATCCAAGGACACACTTGTGAATATGAACAGCTACAATTTACTCGCAGCTGAAAGCTGGGTCGGGATTATCGGCCGAATGGCAAGGCTGCTTGGCAAAATGCGGCATGCATCGTTCTATGGGTTCCTGTTCTTTTATTTCAGATTTGCAATATGCCCCATCATAGAGCTAAGGACAACTCATCGCAGTGCAGTAAGTCTACGCACTATCCAACGATATCTCTGCGTTCTCCGTCTTCGGCTTATAAAGCTGGCTCGAAAACTGGGGCCCCAGCTGTGATGAAGCAAGGATGCTGTCGAGCGCCATCGTGCAAAACACATGAGCAGCAGAGTAGGGGTTTATATAGGGTTTACGTAAGGGTTTCGAACCTAGGGATTCCAAGGGTTTTGCAGGTCTCAACTTGCCCGGCATTGTGAATTGTAAGGGTTCTGTGCTTTCGGGTGTTATTCAAAGTTACGTTGGGTTTGGAAGAGATCTTCGGAGGCTTCAGCTGTTCGAAACCACGCACCCCGTGCCCCTAAGTACAATCCTGCATATAATCCTAAACCTGCAACCCAGAAGCTCTTAAACCCCTGAACCTTGAACCGTGAACCCGAAACAGTGGATCTAAAGTATGCTGCATATCTGAACCCACAGTCCTATACAGTCTCGAGCACCTCATGACTGCAAGGGGCCTTGCCCTGGAAGGGTCTTGGATTGCAGGGGCCTTCAGGGGCCTTGGGGGGTCCTTCGGGAAATTGATGCCGGACGAATTCCGTGCTGAATTCGGGGAGGCCTCTCTCTGGAGGAAGCAGGTAAATGACGCGGCCGACCACCTCTGCCGCGATCGCGCGCGTCTGTGCCCGCGCCCTGGGGGTCGCAGACATCACCACCGACTGTTTCGGGATGCTGCGGCAGCACACGTGACCGAGGACGAATTCCGTGCTGTCTTCGGGGAGGCCTCTCTCTGGAGGAAGCAGGTAAATGACGCGGCCGACCACCTCTGCGGGAAAGCGGCGGCCCGGGCCACGGCCCAAGCGGGACGGTGGTGCCCGGACGAGATCGATGACCTCGTTCGCGAGGTGACGCTCTTCCTGTAGCACAGGGCATCCGTGTTGCTGGTCTCCCAAGAGCAACCGCCGTGGGACCTTACCTCGGAAGGGAAGGCAAAACGCAGGAAGGGGAAGAAGCATACCCCCAAGGTGGCGCACGAGCCTGCGGCCACCGAGTCACGGCCCCCTCACCGTCGGCACAGGCCGGCAGCAGACGGAGGGGAGAACAAACGCCAAAGGATTGAGGCCCTCATCAGAGAGGGCACCGGCGGGCACACGTGGGAGGCCCACCCCACAACCATCGCCTCCGCGGCATGCTCGGTGTGCGGGCTGTACATAAAGCAGCTCATGGCCCTGTGGCGTTTTAACCGCATAGCCGCCCACCAATGTAGGCACAGGGAGACCCCGATTCCAGCGGAGCTGGAAGTGCACAGGTCACATGACATGCACAACCTCGGCGACAGGTGGATGTGCAAAAAGTGCGGAGCGCAACTTAGTAAATTAGGCCGGGGCACTCGAAGCTCACGATGACCCTTTTTAATCAGTGCGAGCCTACCCGCCTAAAAAGGGGCAGATTGCCGCGAGTATGCTTAGCTCATCACTCCCAGCGGCTACCCCCACGGTGGCTCCCAACCCCAAACCGAGCCCCGCAATTGACAGGAAAAGGGTTAAGCCGAAGCCCCAAGCGAAGCCCGAAGCCCAACCTAAGCTCCGGCAGCTGTTTCAGGCTCGAAGCTCGAAACTGGGACACACCCAAAGCACGTCCCCTCCCGAAGCCCAAGCAAGCCCACAGGAAACTCTGCCCAGGACTTCCCCTCAGCCCCTTCACTCCCCTAAGCCCGGAAGAGCCTCAGGTAGTGGTAGTGTAGCTGCCGCAGCTGGTCCTGAGACCAGCGGCCTGCATAGGTTTTTCCGAGCGCGGGATGGGACCTCCCAGCGCTAAGAGCCAGCCGGGAGCTGGCAAAGGCAAGGGCCACGGATGGCCCGAGGAGGAGGCCGAGGAAAAGGGAAAGGAGGAGCAGGCGCTGGCAAGGGCAAGAGTGAAGCCGAGCCCCTCATGACCAGGCCCAGGGCTGGGGAAGGCACCCCCCAGGACAGTGGGTGTCCCCAATAGTGCTCAGCAGTGAGCAAGGCCTTTATCAGGTCACAGGTCACGAAAGGCCGCTAACCCGAACTGCGGCAGGGTCAGCAGGTCTTCATGGGCAAGAAACCTTTCGGCGAAAGGCTGACTCCGCGAGCCGCCCGCGGCCTTCACCGCTGGTGGGAGAGTTCCCCCACCCCCTCCACAGTTTCGGAGGGAGACGGGCCAAGCCGGCCCAGGGCTCCCTGAGGAGCCGAGGCCACAAGACCCACTTTCAAGAAGTGCCCGGCAAGGGCAATGCAATGGCAGAGCCCGTCGACCCTGTAGGTGAGCCGGAGGAGGGGGACACAAAGAGGAGGAGGAGGACGAGACACTCTCCTCGAAGAGCTCCGACGGCACGGAGTCGGAGGCAGAAGTGCCAGCGGTAACGGTGACCCCTTGAAAGCGCCGCACAGCTCGCAAGACCACAGGGAGCAAGACCAACCTGGTCCCAGGCACACCCCTGTCACCGAGGCTCCAATCTCTGGTTCGGTGGAGCCCGCAGGTCGCCATGGAGGCAGGGCTCTTGGATGGGGATGGGCGACGAGGATGTTTCGACATCCCCGGCGGAACCACCCCAACCGGAGCCGTCGGCCACTAGTGGCCCAGGGGATGCACCGACCCGACAAGGGGCGAAGGCTCAGCCGATGCACTCCAGCCGAGGACTGCACGGCTGAGTTCGAACCTCCCCTCGCAACAACCCCTCCACGGAGGCAGGGCACATCACCACGAGGGCATCCAGCTGAGCGGCCATCCGAGGGCCCAGCTCAGGATGCCACAGACTCAGCCGCTGCAGCCAACACCGCAGCCGGCCCACCCAATCCGTTCCCTCCAACGGAATGGATCTACCGGATCGACACGGAATGCCGCTCCGGCAGCAACCTGCAGGTCATCCGCCTTCCGGTGCCAGGACATTCGACAGCAGCGGATGTCTTGGAAAGGCTGCATATGCGCACCGGGTTCAGCCTAGGAGCACTCCGGCTCACGAGGGAGTCGGAACCCCTGCCGCTCCATGAACCCCTTGCCTAAGGGTGCCGGCCGGTACAGCCAAGTTGTACGCCAACACGGCCGAAGGGGTCACACTGAGGCAGGACAGCGCGCCTCCCGTGGTGACCACGGACATGCTCTGGTGTATAGCATGCCGAGTCCGGGTGCCCACCCCGGAACACATGCAGGGGCACCTCATGACTGCATCCCATGTGATTGCAGTCTCGGAATACCTCGAATCTTTCAAGAAGGAGGGCTGAGGTATGAGGTGAGGCAATCTCCCTCTCAGGACGTGTTCACACTCCTGACCCCTGCAAGAGGACGTGTTCGCACTCCTCGATGTGCAGCCCTGTCAGTTTTGCCGTAGAGCCGTAGTTCAGGGCGGGGACGTGTTACACTCCCCAGGACGTGCTTGCACTCCTTAGCACATCCGGGAAGAGCTCGCTCTCCCGTAGGGCGTAGCTCCTTTTTCCGCCTGAGGGCGATGCCCACCCCAAACGGGGTGGAAGATCGTGGGAAACCCACGGTAATTAGTTGCACGCCGGACGAGGCCCACGGGCCGCGGACTCTTCGCCGCTTCAAGGAAAGGAAAAGGAAGCACATCTGGGAAAGAGCATAAGGCAGGCCGAAGGAAAAGGCTACGAGAGTGACAAAGGAAAAGGCAAAGGTGGACAGAATGGACCTGTATGTTTCAATTGTGGTAAGACCGGACATTACTCTTCGGAGTGTTGGTCGGCACCAAAGGGAAAAGGAAAAGGAGGAAAAGGAAAAGTTCGGAATGTCCAAGAGAGACAGGTGAGGAAGAATGGTATGAAGAGCAACCTAGTTCTTCTACACAAGCACAAGCAAGGCCACCACAAGGAGCCAAAGGAAACGAACAAGTGCGTAGGTTGGTGACAACGCCTATGCCAGTGATTGAAGAAGTGTTCGAAGAAGATGATGACTACATTGATCTTGTAGGAACGTTTGAAGAGATGGTGATGGATTATGCTGCACGAGCAGTAAAAGCCAACACAGTTGTGCTATGGTCAAGCATGGCTGACGAAAGTGATGAAGAAGATTATGAAAGGGATGAACTTCACAAGTGGTATGAAGATCTGCAAGTTGACAAGAAGAATGCCAAGAGTGCAAGAGAGCGAGAAAGGCTTTTCGGAAGCGTTCAAGATGAAGAGCCAGAAGTGCATCGAGTAAGAGCCGTTAGCTCAAGCTACTCAGAACTCGTTGAAGTCGTGCTAGATAGTGGCGCGGATTGTCATGTACTTCCGCTATGCTACTACAGTGAAGACTTAGGAACAGTTGAGTTCCCAGCTTTGAGAATGGTTATTCAAGATGCCCAAGGCAACAGGATAAGAACCACTGAGACAAGAGCGAATATCACATTCGAATTTCAAAGGACAGATGGAAGAGTGATAAAGGTGAGAGATTCAGCTGTGTTCGGAGATGTAACACAACCACTATTTGCAGTAGGCAAGTTGTGGAAAGTCGGATGGGGACTTGATCCTCTAGACCAGTTCAATGCTTACTTGAAGAAAGGATCAGCAAGAGCACCAGTGAGGTTTGCAAGAAACTCAACAGTGACAGACCTCAAGATTTACAGAGCTCAAGTGAAGGTTGAAAGTGATGAACCACAAGTGAGAAAGCTCACATTGATCAAGCAGATGGAAGATGATTTCGAGAAGATGAAGTATCATGAAGGATGGTTTTTCATGTCAGATGGGAGGCCAGCAAGGATCGATTATGACAAGTACACAACATATGATCCCACAAATGACGACGTGAAAGCGTTCAAGTTCAGAACTACTTTGGTATCGAGGTACGATGGTGAGAACATCGTATGGAGCGAACTGGAGTTTGTGGAGTGCGCTGAAAAGTGGGAAGACCGAGAAGAGATTGTGATAGATGCAGTTGAAGAGAACTCGGTGATCATCACGATCTTGGAGAGAAAGTCTCTAGGACTTGAAGAGTATGGTGAGTGTGAAAGAACAGTCCCAAAGAAGAAAAAGAAGGAGCAAGAAAAGGAAGTGGAAGCAGCAGTCGTGGAAATGGCGGGTCACAAAGAAGGAAGTGATACAAAGAAGACAATGGAACAAGTCGAGAAGGAAGCAGCAGAAGCTATGGAGAACTTGTTTCCCAGCGACCCACCTGCAGAAGAAGACATGAAAGAGTGGAAGAAAATTGAAGAGCAACTGCCAAGTTTAGGAGAGAAGATGGAAGAAGCGATGATTGTGGCAGGAGTCGAACTCAACTCAGAGAGTACGCTCAAGCAACTGAGAACAGCATGTGAATTCCTGAAGATAGGAAAGACTGGAAGTAAGGCACAAATATGGCAACGGTTGAAACAAGCCGTATGAGCAAACAAGATGAAGGAGTTGGTTGAAATCTCCAAAGGACTGGAACTAGAGTTCACAAGAGAACCAAAAGGAGAAAAGAGACCAGAGATGCCAACTGACGAAGAGAGAAAGAAGCACGAATTGACGCACCTACCAAAAGCTGATTGGTGTGAAAGTTGTCAAGCAACAAGGTCAAGAGAAGATAATTTCGATGTGTCAGAGAAGAAGAATGAAGCATCGCTAGTTTCAATGGATTTCAAGTTCACTGGAACCCGAGATGAAGAGAACACGAAAGACAACAAAGATGCATTGACAATCGGACTGGTGATGGTTGATGAAGCAACAAAGTTCGTACATGTCATTCCAGTAGCGACGAAAGAAGCGACAGCATACGTTGTTGAAGAAGTCTGCAGAGTGCTTATGCTGTTGAATTCTAAAGTCATTTTGAGAACTGACACGGAAGCAGCAATGATTTCGCTGATGAAGAAGGTGCAAGGAATAAGGAAGATGAAGAATCTTGATTCAGAGATACAAGATGTAGCACCAGATGAACACCAAGGATTGCCCGTTTGGGGGAGAGCACTATTTCAACCACCGCACGACAAAAGACGACGTGATCATTAAACTATACATCTACAGATCTGTCTTTCTGTACACTTCTGTCTTCTGGTGATACGTTTTGTGCGTGTCATTCTTGTGCAGGGGTTTGGGCCACTCGCGTTCACAGCACCATCACACCTCCCACGCCACTCAGTAACAATACCGAGGTGGCAAGCAGTCAAATGCAATAACGATGATGCTGAGGATACGACCTGGCTGTGAGCTGTTCCGCGCTCCCCCCTTTGGCATGGCCAAAGCCATCATCAATCCACTTCCGCAGGATCCCTCACGAATGCTCTGTACAGATCGGGCAGTACCTCGAACTCTGTTCGGCCAACCCACTCGCTCTGGAGATATCGCTGCGCTTGGTCTCGGAAGTTGTCATCGACAATCTCCCGCTCATCGGTGTTCTTGATGATGAGAGTTCGCCGTCTACCAGATAAGCATCTGATGTCAATCGGAATCCGTGTTGATGTGGGGTCAAACAACCGGACTTCGAACATGCCATCGTATCAGGACCCAACGGGCTGGATCCAACTGGTAGCTGTCTCGTCTTTCCGTGGCAGGCGGCCGGTGATGAAGCGAGCTTGCAATCCCACCCCAAGAAGCCTGACCTCGTCTCAATTCTCTGACCGTCGGCTGATTGGGAGCTGGCCCCCAGGCTGGATTGATAACAACGAGAGGGTACGGAGGCAAACCTAACATTCTCCGCTGGTTGGCTTCAAAGGCCACTTCCGCCCGATCCAACACCGCGATAGCGTCATCAGCATACTGAGTCATTAGTGGGCTACGCGGCTGGCCGAAGGCCGTACGATTTGGTGCTGGTTCCTGATCTGGTTCTGGGTGTCTCACTGGTTGCCCTACTCTTCGTTGCCTAAGCCTCTCGTCTCTCTCAGCCCTCCGCTCGGTTTCTCTCTCCTCGTCTGACACAGCATCCTCAGCAAAAGGCTCATGAAGCTGATGCGGTACATGTGACACGTGACATGTTATGCTACGGAAACATGCTTTACCAACCCATTTAAACAGTTCCCAAGCGACTACCACGCCAATGACAATCACACTGAAGACGCCCCAATCTATGGCCCCGTCCTGCGGTTTCTGCGTCCCTTGTCCCCGCGCTCCGCACAAGCAACATGCTAACAAGACCACTTGAAGACACTTCAGTTCTTGTGTACTGGGAGTTTTCGCACCGCTCTGTTTTCTGGACATGTTCTCTTCTCTCACGCTCTGTGTCGCTGTGCTGCCAATGGCTTCGTGCCTATATCAGCCCCGTTGTGCACGCCATCGACATGGAAGATTTCATAAAAGTTCATGCTCCATCTTTCTTTCAAGGTCCTAGCTTTGATTCTCAGCGAACGGGTTCTCCACTGCGTGGACTGTCCAGTGAACCCTGCAATTGCCGCCATGTTGTCGTTAAAGACCTGTACCCGAGGTCGCTCCTGCAGCAGCTCACTGATCATACAAGCGTGTGCTTGACCATAATGGCAACCCGTGCAGGTTGCGAGCAACTCTGATTCACAAGAGCTAGCAGTCATGTAAGGTTGTCTAGCCACATGCCAACCTACTGTACAACCCTCAAACTGCATGATACAACACTCGTGTGACCTTGAGGCTTCCGGCGCGAAACTGCTATCAGTGAAGACTTCAATGAGCCCTCTTGAGCTTGCAGTCCGTTGCCATGGATGTGGCTTCTCAGGCTCGCCAGCTTCATACATACACCAAGCCCACGTCGGGCACATCACACAAGTAGGCCAATGTCTGCAGTGCTAGGTCGTACACCTTTCGGGGTGCCTTCGTGATCCATTGAGATAGCTTCGACACCGCAAACGATATGTCGGGTCTACTACGAACCGCTGTCCATAAAAGTTCGCCTAAGATCTTTTGCCCCTTGCGTATGTCGCTGATTTCTTTCTCCGGTTCTTCATCGATTTCACCGGTCCCCGGGGCCATCGGACAGTTGCTGGCCTTGACCCTGCTAAGTTGCTCCTGGTATCTGGCTCCGAGCTCTTTGATGTAAGCGGTTTGCGTAATATGAAGGTTCCGGCCCTCACCCCAATGAAGATCTAAGCCGAGAAACCTCAAAGGCCGAGACGACTCATGACCTACCCATTCGGGTGTCCCGCATTTCCACCGAGCCGTCACTGCGTCCAGAACCCCTTGAACAACCGCTTTTTCACCTCCAATAATCATGTCATCGATGTACACGCCTACCCATCCGAGGATCTTCGCCGGAAGTCCTAAAGGCGTCCAGTCCTGAGGTCCACACCAATCCTGAATCGGCTCCGTTTCCGAAATCAACCACAAGTTCTCATCAGCAAACGACTGCCAAAGTCGTAATTCCCTGTCACCAACGACGATCCGCAAGTCCCTCAAAACCGAGTTTCGATGAAGACCCCAGTCCCTGGGGCTCGTATCTAGCCCATACATCGCCTTATCCACCCTCCACAGGGTGGAAGGTCGAACTAAACCCCGTTGTACGAGAGACCGTGGGGGCGTTAGGACTACCAACTCCTGAACCGAATCCCGGATGTCACCTTGTCCTTCACAGCTCTCTCCGCTCTCGGCTAGCTTTTCTGCAAGCTGTCTAGATCGAGGAAGCAAGTCAGCGTTGAGAAAGGCTGTTCTGACGTCTACCGTGGCTACTTCCTGACCTCTTTTGGCAGAGAAAGCCAATGCTGACCGCAAATGTGTTATGTCCAGTGACGAGGTGAACACGGACTCTTTGTACTCATGCTTGCTCTCATCTCTCGGCGGCCCCATGTTTCCGCATGCCACTACTCTCACCTTGTGCCTGGCATTAGGTGCTTTAATGGAAAAAACAAGCTTCGATGGCAGTATGGTGACGCGAACTCCACGCTCACGCCACTTCCGCACATCCGCCCAAGTGACATTCACCAACGCACCTTTCTCAAGAATAAGCGAGTTCAGCTCATCTTGCGCCGGACCTTCCCAAACCTCCCGTCTGGCCAAGGCCTCCGCTAAACCCACTAATCCCTTCCCCCTAATATTAAATGGTCGGGGGCCCCCCCCCCCTTTGCCCTAAATAAAAACTCGAGAATGTTTTCATAATTAGGGTCCCGTTGTTATCTCAACTGCCAGAAACACAGGTTCTACAAGTAATTAAATGATGAAAATGATGACGATGAAAATGATGATGACGATTACGGTGATGCTTGTTATGATGAAGATGGCGGTAGTGGTGGTGATGGTAATGATGACGATGATCATGGTCCAGGAAAAGAAGATGAGATGATGATGTTGTTGTTGATAGTAGCAGCAGTAGTAGTAGTAGTCGGAGAAATAGCAGTAGTAGTAGTAGTAGTAGTAGTAGTAGTAGTAGTAGTAGTAGTAGTAGTAGTAGTAGTGGTAGCAGTCGCAGCAGTAATTAGCAGCAATCGCAGCGGCAGCAGGAGCAGGAGTAGTAGTGGTATTGTCAATAGCAGGAGTAGAACATCCGCAGCATCGGCGCCAATGGCGTTTGGGCAAAGGGGCATGGGAAAGTGGGAATGGGTGGGTTTTGGTGGGTTTGCGCGGGTTTTCGGCGGGTTTGGTTGTGCTCTTGGCGGTTTTTGGTCATTTCAAATTTCGATTCTGGATGGGGAAAGGGCCCACGGGGACACCGCCAGAATTGGGCCTGCGACCGTGGCCAAACCCCCTAAGGAGGCAGCCGCCCGCCCCCAAAACCATCTGGCCATGGCCTAATGGGTAAACGTCTGCCTCCAAAGCCCTCCTGGGGAAGGTCGTGGGCTCAATCCCCGGGGGTGTCACTTGGGCCCTTTCCCCACCCGGAATCGAGATTTTGGGGTGACCTGAAGCTCTGGGCTCTCTGGAGACTTAAGAAACGCTATTATAAGGGCTGCAAATCGCACCAAATCCGTGCAAATGCACACTAAAACCGTGCAAATGCACACTAAATCCGTGCAAAGACATACGAAATTCGTGCACATGCACACCAAGTTCGTGCTAATACACACGAAATCCATGCAAATACACACTAAATCCGTGCAAATACACACGGAATCCGTGCAAATACACACTAAATCTGTAAACACGCATTAAAAAAGAAGGCTTCAACAAAGGCTTAGCCAATAAAGCTTTGAATGCGGCTTAATTGAGCAGTTGCTGAGTCATGCAATTGTAATCCTTTGGAAGCATCGTGCCCATCCACGTGCTGGTGATGTGACGGCTATGATTGGGAAACGTTCTTTTCCATGCTAGTAAGATTCGTATCTGAGTTTCATCATGAATTGTTGTTCCGACAGTCTGACGGCAGTACTTTGCTTAATATGATGATGATGAGGAGGATGATGAGGAGGAGGATGAGGATGAGGATGCTTATAATGATAATGATGATGTCGATGTCGAAGGTTTGGAGGACTACTACTACTGCTGCTGTTGCTACTCGTACTACTACTACTGATCCTGCTGCTACTACTACTACTACTACTTGTACTATTCCTTGTACTACGATGACAACGACTACTTCTACCACCACCACTACCACCAATTACCACTGCCACTGATTACCACTGCTGCTGCTGCTGTTCTTGTTGTCACTACAACAACAACCACTACTACTACTACTACTACTACTACCACTGCGATGACTACGACTAATTACTGTTACTTCTCACTAAATCTACTCCTCCTATTACGACGACAACTACGAACTGCTACCACTCCCACAACAATGAGCGAGCGTGCATTGACCGGATGGAAGATGAGACATGGCTGCAATGGCTCAGTAGTAGTAGTAGTAGTAGTAGTAGTAGTAGTAGTAGTAGTAGTGGTAGTGGTAGCAGTCGCAGCAGTAATTAGCAGCAATCGCAGCGGCAGCAGGAGCTGGAGTAGTAGTGGTAATTATTGTCAATAGCAGGAGTAGAACATCCGCAGCATCAGCACCAATAGCATTTGGGCAAAGGGGCATGGGAAAGTGGGAATGGGTGGGTTTTGGTGGGTTTGCGCGGGTTTTCGGCGGGTTTGGTTTTGGTCATTTCAAATTTCGATTCTGGATGGGGAAAGGGCCCACGGGGACACCGCCAGAATTGGGCCTGCGACCGTGCCCAATTTCCCTAGTGAGGCAGCCGCCCGCCCCCAGAACCATCTGGCCATGGCCTAATGGGTAAACGTCTGCCTCCAAAGCCCTCCTCGGGAAGGTCGTGGGCTCAATCCCCGAAGGTGTCATTTGGGCCCTTTCCCCACACGGAATCGAGATTTTGGGGTGGCCTGAAGCTCTGGGCTCTCTGGAGACTTAAGAAACGCTATTATAAGGGCTGCAAATCACACCAAATCCGTGCAAATGCACACTAAAACCGTGCAATAGGGGTAGCAGTTAGCAGTTGTCGTCGTAATAGGAGGAGTGGTTGTTGTTGTTGTAGTGATAACAAGAATAGCAGCAGCAGCAGCAGCAGGAGCAGCAGTGGTAATTAGTGGCAGTGGTAATTGGTGGTGGTGGTGGTGGTGGTGGTGGTGGTAGAAGTAGTCGTCGTCATCGTAGTACAAGGAATAGTACAAGTAGTAGTAGTAGTAGCAGCAGGATCAGTAGTAGTACTAGTAGCAGCAGCAGCAGCAGCAGCAGCAGGAGTAGTAGTAGTAGTAGTAGTAGTAGTAGTAGTCGGAGAAATAGCAGTAGTAGTAGTGGTAGCAGTCGCAGCAGTAGCAGCAATCGCAGCGGCAGCAGGAGCAGGAGTAGTAGTGGTATTGTCACTAACAGGAGTAGAACATCCGCAGCATCAGCACCAATAGCATTTGGGCAAAGGGGCATGGGAAAGTGGGAATGGGTGGGTTTTGGTGGGTTTGCGCGGTTTTCGGCGGGTTTGGTTGTGCTCTTGGCGGTTTTTGGTCAATTCAAATTTCGATTCTGGATGGGGAAAGGGCCCACGGGGACACCGCCAGAATTGGGCCTGCGACCGTGGCCAAACCCCCTAAGGAGGCAGCCGCCCGCCCCCAGTACCATCTGGCCATGGCCTAATGGGTAAACGTCTGCCTCCAAAGCCCTCCTCGGGAAGGTTGTGGGCTCAATCCCCGGGGGTGTCATTTGGGCCCTTTCCCCACCCGGAAGCTCTGGGCTCTCTGGAGACTTAAGAAACTCTATTATAAGGGCTGCAAATCACACCAAATCCGTGCAAATGCACACTAAAACCGTGCAAATGCACACTAAATCCGTGCAAAGACATACGAAATTCGTGCTAATACACACGAAATGCGTGCAAATACACACCAAATCCATGCAAATACACACTAAAGCCGTGCAAATACACGCCGAATCCATGCAAACACACACTAAATCCGTGTAAAGACACACACTAAATCCCTCTAACTACACACCAGGTACACAGTAAATGCGTGCAAATACACACGGAATCAATACACACTCAATCCGTGTAAATACACACACTAAATCCGTGTAATTAGACACCAAATACTGCGTGCAAATACTCACGATCCGTGCAAACACACGCTAAATGCGTATAAATACACACCAAATCCATGCAAATATACACTAAATTCGTGCAACTACACAGGACGTGAGTGCAAATACACACCAAATCCGTGCAAATACACACGGAATCCGTGCAAATACATCTAAATCCGTGAATCCGTGCAAATACATACTAAATCCGTGCAAATACACACTGAATCCGTGCAAATACACACTAAATCCGTGCAAATACACAAATCCGTGCAAATACACACTAAATCCGTAAATACGCATTAAAAAAATAGGCTTCAATAAAGGCTTGGCTAATAAAGCTTTTCATGCGGCTCAATTGAGCAGCTGCTGAGTCATGCAATTATAATTCTTCCCCCTAAACCCTCAATCTATAGACCCTAAACCTTCCCCCTAATTCAAATTAGGGTTTAAAGGGCGGTGCTACTTCCGGGTGGATCGGGGGAAAAGTGTTTTTATAATTAGGGATCTCTTTAGTAAATGGGGGAAGGGATTATATATATATATATATACATATATATATATATATATATATATTGCATATCTATACACATACATACGTACATCAGTAAACATATATATATATATATATATATATGGAGAGAGACAGAGCGAGAGAGAGAGAGAGAGAGATAGAGGGAGAGAGCGACGAAGCTATTTCTTGCTCTCTCCGGCCTGAGGGCTTACGGATCTAGGGTTTATATTGCTGTTGGGCTTAGAGACTTAGAGCACATAGGGAGGGCTGCCCAACACACAATCATGCCTGGACTGTGTCCGTGCAGCAACGCCAGCCATGAAAGGTTAAGGGTTTGTAGGGTGTATTGGTTTGCAAAACATCATTTCAGGACAGATGACCTGCAAAACCTAAAACCCGAAGTAACCCTAAACCCTAAATGCTAGAGTACCCCTATAGGACTCTTGAGAGATGACTTGATGCCTTAAACCCCTTCATCTTTCACCGAGCTACAGCGACAACGACAGCAATCTCCAACCAACTCTGCCGTTTGTCGGCGCGCTCTTGGCGTGCCTGGGAGGAACCCATAGGGTGCTGCCCTATACCTTGGGTACTGCCCCACCCTGTAACAGTCTATATTTGGTGTTCATGTGGGCCAA